TTATCTCTCATGGTTCTGGAGGCTGGGAAGTTCAAGATCAGGGCATCAACAGATGGTTTTTTGCCATGTCCTCACATGGCAGAAGTGTAGAAGGCACTCTCTGGGGTCCCTTCTACAGGGTCACTGATCTCCTTCGAGAAGGCTCCACCCTCGTGGCCTAATCACCTCTCACAGTCCCCATCTCCAAATACCACCCCATGGGGGGTTAGGATTTAACATATGAATTTTGGAGGGATGCACACATTCAGACCATAGAAGACGCTTAGCAAATGCAGGTTGTTGTTATCAAAGACAAAATGCAGAAAAGGAAAGGGAAGTAAACCCCATGGTGGAGATTCGCTGGGAATGTGAGGAAGGTCCATTTTGACAGAAGGGAGGGACACAGTAGGACAAACCCAGTAGAGGTACTATGATTTAGGGGGAAAGACCCCTAAGTGTAGTCCACAATCATAGGGAACTAGGAGGAGTCCTAAAGAAGGTGGAAGAAAGATGCACAAGTAGAGGCTGGTAAGCATTACTGTGCCTCTGACATGTAGTTGTTGTTGTTGTTGTTTTTTTTTTTAACAAAGTTTATTTAATCTGCATGAAAGCTCTATGGGGTGAGTGTTGTCTCAGTTTTATTTGCGAGGACACTCAGGCTGGGGGAGTTTCAATATTGCATCCAAGGCCATGTAGGTAGTGAGAATCTGGATCTCAATGCTGATTCGAGGCTGTGTGGCAATACAGTCTTTGCTCCCACAGAGCCTAATGGGGTCTGCTCCTTGCCCTTTTGGGACGTGGCCCTGTGAGAGCAAGGGCAAGGTTAACCAGGGAACACCTGTTAGCCTCTTCCTCCGCATACACCTGCAAACACCGCTGAGACACAGGACCACCCACAGGAGACAAGGGAAGGAAAGGAAGGTAGGAAGCTGTTAAGATGTAGCATCAGTTCTGACTGCTGTTGGCGGAAATGTGCATCTGTGCAGGAAAGGAAATTGTTGAGGCTGGGGAGCATGGAGACTACTGCGAGCCTTGTTTACTTGTGTTATTTTCTGTTGCTAGGGCTGATTTCTTCTCATATAATGTTTCTCTTTATTTTTTAATCATGTGTCGGCATTACTGTTTGCATTAACTAGTTATCTGTGTGTCTCTATCTGCGTCAAACTAAAAACCATAAATGACTTCGGTAACAAATCTGGAGATTGAATCAATTGAAAGATCTAATTTTCTTCTCTGCATTACCAATGTTTGCCTGATGAGGATTTAAATCAACTTTGAAAAAACCTTAATTTATTTGGGTATTAAATTCCATCAAGGCAGCCCACCGATCCAGCTGTTAGACCTGATGTGTGTAAGTCACTTGGACTGAAGACACTGGGAACTTTGCCCTTAAGATAGGGGACTGTGGTGGGAAACCAAATCTTGACAGGCTTAGAATATAGGATACTTGAAGTCTCTGGGATAAAATGAGCATGATGAATGTGATTTCTACCTCATAGAGCTCATTTTCCTTATAAAAGTGGGCAGGGTGTGACTCTGGAGGGAAGTTGTGGCTACACGTATGAAGCGGCAAATCGAAGCAATGATCAGGATAAGTCAGCTCTAAAACTCCTTTCTTAAATAGATAAATGATATTCAGAGGCAAGAAAGGGGATGGGGCAATGTTTTTCTCTCACTTTTTTTTGAATAATGCTTTTAGTTTTCTCAGTTCAAGTGAAAGAACTCTGTGTGTGTGTGTGTGTGTGTGTGTGTGTGTGTGTGTTGAGTGTATGTGTGTGAGACAGAGAGAGAGACAGAGAGCATTCCAAGCTTTTCAAAGTTTTCCTCCTAGCTCTCTCTATGCGTCTGCACCACCCACCCCCTGCTGTCTGTCAGGCTCTATGAGCATTTCTTTTCTAGTGATGATGATGCCGGCCACAGTGTAGTGAATGACTAGGGAGGGAAATACTGACGGCAGACTTGGCACTTGAATCTTGGCCTCACCACGTTCTTCTGGCCTTCACACATTTTTTAACTCTCTGTCTCGGTTTCCACATCTCCAAACAAAGATAGTAACAGTCCTATCTTAAGGTTGTGTTGAAATAAATGTCTAGGCCCAAGATGAAGCCATTCCTGTCCAAGGTGCCACATCAGCAAACAGAAGCTTAGAGAACTTTTGTCTCCCTGTGAATGGTTGTGCTTGACCAGAAATGGTATATTCAGCCAGCCAGCTCCAAATGCCGACCCAGCTCTGGGCCTTCTCACCCCAAACGAGGTGGACGGTGTGGCCCGAGACAATCAGACATTTTCTATTTTTCTCTTTCTTGTTCTTTATTCTTTATCTCATAAAAGTTCCTTGCCCTCTAATTCACACACTTATTAGCCAGGAGTCTAATTTTGCAGGCCCAAAAGGAGACTGTCCACTTCATGGTGTGTTAAATAATTTGTTTCACCTGAATGGTCTTTAATCATTTTTCTAAATAGTTGTCATGAAGATTCTATAAGATAATGCAGGTAGAGCCATCTAGTAACATGGTAAACACTCAGTAAATATTTGTCAGGTCATTTTTACTACTAACACGCTCTCTGTTCTCTGTGAGGATATATGCCTTTCTTGAGGAAAAGAATTATTTCACTCACCTTGTGATCCTCATGATACCTTCCTTGTATATAGTAGGTTTCTAATAACTGTCTATCTAAGGAAACAGAATCCACATTTTAACAATACTCAGTGTGTTGCAATTGACCCTTGGGCTTCTGGAAAATACACTTGTTAGGATCAGCATATTCACCTTGCAGGTATTTTCAGGAGGCAGATTGAAGGTTTGAATGCTCCATTGCCCTAAAAATAAATTCACGGTATATTTCTCAATATCCTAGACATCTAAATGTCATTTTATTTTTTGAACACGCACTAGTTAGGGTGGATCCTACTGTTCCGTGGTCTTCCCTGGGAGCCTGATTGTTACGGAGCTGGTAGGGGCCCCAGGTGCACAGAGACTCACGGTTCTGGAAACCAGAGGATTGAAGCGTTCTGCACAGCTTTGGTGAGAAAATAGTTATTTCTGTTTCCTCTCAGTTATGTTCTTGCACTTGCTTTTCCATGAGGTGGTCAAACAGAGACAGAGAGAAAATTGATTAGGCAAGTCATCTCTATTATTATTAAGACCTTTGGAAGTCCTTTTGGGCATTGGCTAAGGAGAACTGCTTTATTTATTTATTTTTTTAATGTTTTCTTTATTTCTAGGAGAGAGAGAGACAGCGTGAGCAGGGGAGGGCCAGAGAGAGAGGGAGTCACAGACTGAAACAGGCTCCAGGCTCTGAGCTGGCAGTCAGCACAGAGCCCGACGCGGGGCTCGAACCCACGAACCGTGAGATCATGACCTAAGCGAAAGTCGGACGCTTAACCGACTAAGCCACCCAGGTGCCCCAAGAACTGCTTTAGAAATAGTACAGTCACTCACTGTCCATGTGGGACAAACAAATCTGTGGTACTGCAGAGATCAGTTAGGGCCCACAGCTCAGGCTAATGAACAATATTCCATTGCAGAGAGAGGACAAGAATGGACTCTTATTAAGAAGCACTATAAATAAGGAGGGCACCTGGGTGGCTCAGTCTGTTAAGCCTGAACTTTGGCTCAGGTCGAATGAGCTCTGCGTTGGGCTGTTTGCTGTCAGTACAGAACCTGCTTAGGATCCTCTGTCTCTCTCTCCCTCAAAATAAATAAACTTAAAGAAAAGTACTGTGAGGATAAAATGTGATTAAAGTGAGTTACCAAGCAGAGGTCAAGAAAGGATGGAGGAGGGGGTCTTGATCATGGAAATACAGGCCCAGATGAATTAATTCTATGGGCGTTTGTATATAATAATTGTTCATAAATGTTTGAGTAATAATCACACCCTCAAATTATGTGAAAATTATGCTCCTTTCAATTGCATAAAACAGCTTACATGCTCATTATCAACTGAGCCAAAGAACACATAATGATGTAAAAGCTAAGATTGCCATGAAACGTTTCGGTAAAAAAAAAAAAAAAAAAAAAAAAGACTCGGTTTTTCCTTTACTTATGTTTACTTGTCAATTTCAAAGGAATCAAATTTCATTATATCATATAAATAAAGTACGCCAAAGGCACTAGCCCCTGCTGTGTCAGTAAGCTACCCTCTATTTAGAAATTTCTGTGGCTTTCAGATAAATGTATTTCCTCCAGAAAAGCAATTCTCACGAACTAACATAAGTAGATAGAGGCTGTTTCTAATGAAACTCAGGAATCCCTGATGTCATCTTGTGTGTGGCAATCCCTCACTTAAGAGAGGAGGATCAGAAAATGCAAAACCCTATGGTTATACTGAGCAACTTAAAAGAAATGTGTCAAAAGCTCATTATGCGCGGTCACAGTTTGCAGCACAATCCGATCCTATAGAAAGTGAAAAGACCTGCTCTTCTGTGCATGTGCTCTTCTTTGGCAGCCAGCGGTGACAAACCTCACAGATCAACAGCCTCCCCTCTGAGCAAATGTGGAAAACCACTTGTTAGTTCCTCCCCTCTAAACACCTCTCCCTGTGGCTCCACTTTTTAAAACTCTTTTATTTTTGGTAAAAGTGAGGCTCACCAAGATCTAAAATAACACGAAATCTCCTGAGGTCTATTCCAACACGAAGTGGGCCCAGTATGAGAACTGGTGCATCACGTGTATTAAGGCAGAGGAACGTTATTTTTTCAACCCCAGAATTTCTCTCAGAAAGGGAGATGCTTTCGCTTTGAAAAATACCCTGATAAGAGCGGGGAGAGAAGGAGAGAGCCCCGCTGGGGCTGGGGTGTAGGCCGAATGTTTCTGAGACAAAAGGAGCAAATTGGCAGGGACTTCCCTTCCAAACGAGCGGAAGGACTGCAGCCAATGGGAGGGGGGGAAGCGGCTTGCATCTGTCTTGACGCTTCTTCTCCTCCGCGCCCCCCCTCGCCCCGCCCAAATCTTAGCTGAAATTAAGGAACTGGTTACACATTTAGTGTTGGTCTTCTTCTTCTCTTTGTAAACTTGCGTAAGGACTGGGCGTGTATCCAGATCAGCTGAGTAGGACAGAGTTAACTTGTGTGGACCCAAGCAGAGAAAAACCTGAAAATAAGTATTTCGGAATTTTAAAAGAAATTGTGGGGAGGCCTCTAGACACAGATCTAGATGGGTTTACTGAAATCTTTGAGGGGTTACGAGGGGAGCAAGGGAGGCTTTTACGGTATCTTGGTCAAACCAGCTTCCTTATGTGCAGAATCACTGCATGGTGATACTGTCTTCATTGGTGGGAGGCTACTGTGTGTGTTAGGCTACGTCATGGGCGGGAACTTGGAAACATGATTGTATAAACACAGGGCATTATAGTTGATTCTGCAGTCTTTGAACTGGCTAGACTTCAGAATGATAATTTAAGAGGCTGGCTGATGGAAAATAAAGATTCTTTCATAGAATAACAAAGCACTTTAAGATCTTAGTCTTACAATTGAGAAATATCCAGCACCACTAGATTTTCCAACATCAATTCAGAATCCTTGAGAATGAGGGACAAAATCAAGGCCAGATAAATTGGATACGTAATATTCCCATTAGCCAAAGTCGGTAAGGTGCAGGTGAAGAGGGGTCAACATATTTGACCCTTTGCACACTTTTTTTTATATCTGTACTGGACCAAACCTCGAGTACCACTGTGTACCTCAAGAAACAAAAACACATTTGACAGTGTTTCCACAGGGTGTCTCAGATTTTGGGGAGTATACAAATTAGTGGCACATCACCTAAGAATGATTCAATGTCATCAGGTACTTCCTCCAAATGGAATGCTCTGATCTAGAGTTTCAGATTGCATCACCTCCTGAGAGATGCCTTCTCTGATCATCCCTTACAAAGTCCACCCCCACCCCTACCCCCAGCACATCACTCTGGCTTTTCTTTACAACACTTAATACCATTTGAAACAATCCATCCATTTTTTTTTTTAAACCTGGTTTTGGTCTGCCTGCCAACTATTCTGATATGAAGACCATGAAAGCAAGAAATTGATGCTCTTTGTTCATTGTTTCTCAAGCTCTAGGATGATGTCTGGCACCTTAGCAGAGCTCAGTAAATATTTGTTGAATCATCTAATGAATTTCACTCAGCTTTTAATCTGTACAGATTATCAAAATCCTCATAGGCCACTACAAATATAGGGTGGTTATTATAAAGGAAATACATACCGAAGGACTCTTTAGCTGGTGTTTCGATCTAATTCCTTTTTATTATCATCCTTATTTGGATCATGTAAATGATGATCACATTATGCCCATCAGGATACCTTACAAGGAAAAAAATTCAGAATTATAGGAGCAATTTGGCAGTAACTTCCCAGTGCAGTTGGGAACTGATGCATTGAAAGTGAATCTAAAGATTCAATTAAATGATGTAACAGTAGGGTTCAGTTTTCATAAAGAGGAAATATTTTTGATGTTCAATTTTAGCTTTAGGTTAATAGCATTATTAGATTACATTCTTGGGTCATTAGAAGAATGAGTTCACTTTTTTAAATATAAGAAAACATGTAGTGGTGGAAGCTAGATAGCAATACATATTTATAAGATTTAGTAAGATTTAATATTACTTTTGATTTCAAATTTACTTAAAAATATAATTATGACTCAGGGATGTATAAATGTCTTCAAAATGAGAACAAATAATGAGAACGTTCTTTAGCTCCCTATTATGGATAATTAAAAGAAGATATTTGAGAATATAAATGTACTGTTTTGAGAGAGTGGAACTATTTTTTTCCTTTGTACCTTACTGCTTTCATTATCTTTTTTGGAGGATCTTATTTGTCATAAGTTGTCACAGGAGCCTTGTTTTATGATGTAACTAGACTTATTAAATGTAAAATTATTAATTTTATTCTATGTATATTGTTTTTTCATCCTCATATGAGAACAATACAGAAACACTGCTGAATTAAGCTGAGTACAGAAAAGAAAGTTCCGGAGAATTTTTCAAAGTTTCCTTTCCAAAATTGGTTTGTATATATTTACTACTGGTTGAATAAAGAAAGAAATATATTTTCAGATATATTTCTTTATGTATGCACAAATTGTTTTAGTTTTATCTCCAAGAAGCATTTTAGTTATCTATTTTCGCATAACAAATTACCACAAAATTTAGTGGCTTGAAACAATAATAAGCATTTATCTCTCACAGTTTCTGGGAGGAATTAAAGAGAAGTTAATGTTCTGCTGGGGAGTCATTCATAAAGCTGAAGTCAAGGTGTTGACCAGGGTGCAGAAAGCTTCAATGGGGCTAGAGAGTCTGCTTCCAAGATGGCGCACCCCCATGGCTGGGGAATATGTGCTGCTTATTGACAGAAAACCTTGTTTTCTCATGATGTATACTTTTCCATAGGACTGCTTGAGTGTCTTTACAACATGATAGTCAGCCTCTCCTGGAGCAAATGATTCAAGTAAGCAATGTGGCAGTTGTTATGTTTTCCATGACCTAACCTCAGAAGTCACACTATCACTTCCATCATGTTTTACTAGTCACACAAACTGACCTTCATACGATGCGGGAAGTGACTACATGAGGGCATAAATATCAGGAGATAAGGATCATTGGGGATCATCTTGGATACTAAGTATTACAGTGAGAAATCACAAGGTTATCTTAAAATCTACCACTGTTACGAATTTTGAATTGATTACCAATGTTCACTAAAAGCTGCTTTGCAAATTATGGAGTGGTACAGAAATGGAAACAGCATTTAACAAAAAGGCTTGATAAGTGTATAAATAACATTTCCTTCCACATATTGTGGATACTGCATATAATCACATTGGATAAAGCAAATAAATATTGTCAACTCTGCTTTATAAGATTATAAACATGTTGGTGGGAAATGAGATCAGATAATTGAAAAGAAAAAATGGAGGAAGGGAAAGATCAGAAAACAAGGATCTACAGAAAGAAAAAATAGTAGCAAAAGAGAAGAGAAAGGAAAGGGGATGACAGGGATGAGAAAAGACAAATGGCAGAGTGAATAGCAGAAGATACAGAAGACAAAGATATGGAAATAAGAAGCAAAAGAAGTGTAGGAAAAAGAGATGATTTGCACAAGAGAGAAGAAGGAAAAGGAGAAAAGATCATGAGAATAGGAGAGAGTTGAAAAAGGAAAAACAAGAAACGAAAAGTAGAGATTAGCCTTTTCATTCACCAGTGTTTGGATCTTTCACCACCCCAGAATAGGGCCAGGGACTTGCTGCCTTTGTCTTGGTTTGCTCCCTGTGTTTCTCAGCTCTTTTGAGAAAAGTTCTTTAAGGCCTCAGAACTCTGGTTTTCAGCTTGTTGTCCAGACTGGGTTGGCTAAGCGTTTCTGGAGAGAAGAGTTGAAAAAATATTTTATTTAATATTCAACTTGTTCTTCTTAAAGACACAGTATCTTGCTGGATGTTATTTTTCTAAAACTATTGAAAAAATGTAATTTATCTGGAAAAAAACAGACATAGCAAATAATTTTCTGAGAAGTTTTGGTTCTGTAAAAAATTATACCATACTTCTTTTGGTTCCCTTTGTGTTTCTGCAGATTATTATAGTTCATTTTTTTCTTCATTTTGGGTTTTTGATTCGGGGTTTACTTTAGTTCAGTTTCCTGATTCAATTCATGTTTCTGTGATTGAAGTAAAATGGTGGTTAAAAAAGTATTCAGATAGATGGTTTCCTTAGCCAAGACTTTTTTTAAAAAACAGATTACATAATTTGTCTTTCAATAATGTTTAACTTATAGATTTAAGGGAAACTTGGATAAGCAATTTTCATATATTGAAACATAAAATGAACAAACTGATATCTGTTTTTTTCATACATTCTAGTGTACTTTCTCATGTACAAGTTGACTCATGAAGATAAAGGCTTATACACTAATTCAAAGTGTGGGATCCTCTCCTCTACCTTTTCCATTTCACTGTTTTGTTGTTGTTGTTGTTGTTTTTGTTTTGTTTTTTGCTTGAGTCTGTGTTTGTAGGTGAATATAAAGTGAGCTGAGGACAGTTAATTAACAAGCATTTACTGGATAGCCATTATGTACATAATGAATAAAAATGTACATAACACTAAACAAAGCATCTGGGTTGAAATAAGAGAGAAAACAAGACATGGTCATGGTTCCTGGGAAACTTAGAATGTTAACAAGTGGAAACAAACTGAGTGAAAATAAATGCAAAATGATATAGGAAGTGTGCAATAATTTAGAACATATTAAATGTGGGGGGCCTGGGTGGCTCAATCGGTTAAGCATCTGACTTTGGCTCAGGTCATGATCTCATTGTTCATGGGTTTGAGCCTCATGTTGGGCTCTGTGTTGAGAACTCAGAGCCTGAAGCCTGCTTCTGATTCTGTGTCTGTCCCTCTGCCCCACCCCCGTTCATGCTTGTTGGTGCATGCGCTCTCTCTCAAAAATAAATAAACATTAAAAACAAAACAACGAAAAACCCCCAAAGCCAGACAAACAAAAAGAACATATTAAATGCATCACCAATAGGAGAATACAGAGTGAATGATCAAAGCAGAACTGGGTCAGTCTTAGAAACCTGTCTTCAGTTGCTGAACGTTGAATCAAAATTTGAAATTGGGTTTAGTCTAGGATCAATAGAGATGAGTGAGATTGATTTCTCTGGGGTGGTGCGAAGTATGGGGGCTGGGGTGAGTACAAGGAGATTGCTAGTAATGGTGAACACATGTCTAGTGACTTGGGAAATGATTTAAAGAAGTTAATCTGGAAAGATAAATTTAAATGCACAGTCTGTGACCCAAATTTTTTAAACAAATTCTTTCAAAATGTTACAGAAGACTTGTTGTTTGAGAAGAACTGTGTATTTGTTCTGTATGAAACAGCTTGAAATGATGACAATGGATAACAGAGCTTAAATAAATGATAAGTAGCAAACATATATATTTATTATCATATACTTAACAAATGAGTATAAAATATGAATGTCTTATTTCTCTAAGCTGATGAGTAATTGAAATAATAACATGGACACTTTGGGATGATATGTATTTCTCAGATGTGCAGATGTACACACAGAAGGCCACTGTGATGAGCTCTGACTAGCAGTCTGTAGACTGGATTTCAGATTTCATCTTTATTTATTAATACTTCCATTACTGGGATAGGTTGCTTAAAAATGTTCAAACTCAATGTTACAGTGTTCTGTGAGGATCAGATAAGATAATGTATGTGAAATTACCTGGCATATGGTAGGCACTCAATGTGTTTTTATTTCTTTATTGTTTTTTCTAAGAAGCAATGGGTCGTTTTGGAGAAAGTTGTAAGGCCAGGGTGGGAACACAGATGCATATGGAACATGCTTTGATTCATATTTTAAGTAAAGAATGAAGTATGTCTTTTGTATTTTTAATGGAAGGATTCAGGAAGCTCCATACCTCTAAACATCAGCCAGTTTTCTGGAAATGGGCCTGGGTGAAAACAGACCCACTCATAGCCAGTAACAAGAACTGGTGTTTATTGCACAGGGCAAACATTTATGAAAGTAGCTTTTTGCTTCCGCATAATGCTTAATTTACTGTAGAAAATTTGGGAAATCCAGAATGAGAAGAGCATCTGTAATCTCACTAGTCACAGAGAACCATTTTGGTGTATTTCCTTCAATCTCTTTTATACAACATAAACCTCAACTGAAATCAACTGTACATTATCTTTTGTAACCTGATTGTTTTCATCTTATACTGTATAGAAAGTATATTCTTGTGTCACTACACAGAAGAATTTCTTGAAAACATAATTTTGAATGGTTATGTAGTATAACCTATAATGGTTCTACCAATATTTTATCTAATTTTTTCCCTACTTTTAAGGCTATTTCGGATATCTGCCTTAATACAAATCACTGCAATGATCACCAGTATGCATAAATCTCTAATGATTTCTTTGAAATAGATTTCAAGAAATGGAATTACTACCTCACAAAGTATAAACGCCTTTAAGCCTCTTCACTCACATTGAGCACTGTCCTATGGAAAGGTTGTACCAATTTTATGCTCCTCTTACCAGTGTGTGACAGTCAGCATTTCCCAGAACTCTTGCTGCAGATCATTTCTATGAAGACTTCCTTCACAAGTGGTTGTCATGTCCGTCTGTGCTGATTAATTTCTGGAAACCTTTGTTAATGGTTATTTATTAACAATCATTGCCATTGTACTCGAGGCTTTTCTTCTTTATCTTCATTATAACTTACATGTTTCCTTTTAAAGTGTTTTCTGAAAAACAGCAAAGCAGTAAATGTGCTAATAAAACTAAAACCAAGATTTAATTTCTTAGATAAAATCAAGGCAGGCTGACAAACTCAGACTTGAGGGAAGACTGGATGGATGGTTGCCTGGCAAATACTTCATGAGTCATTGTTTTCAAAACCTCCAGAGCCAGGAAGAAAGGGCTGATTAGCTGGGATGAGTTATCATATTCCCATTTCATATGTTTCTAGAAATAGTACAGTTTTGTAAATGTGTTAAATGATCCCAAATTAATACATGACGATAGAAGCAGAAGATGAGCTGTTTTAGGCAAATTTGGCCCCATGACCTAGTCATGAACTGTCCTCAAGTAGGGTGAACAGTCCTTTCCCAGCAGCCCCTTATGCATTTGTATTTATATGTGTACATCTCTGCTCACTCACTGGTTGGTAGAGTTCCTTGAGATGGAGAATAAGTGTTTTCATCTTTATTTTACTGCTCAGACTAAAGAACATTAGCCATAATAGAATCATGTAGATGAACAATTCCCTGGTGGCTGGCTAGAAAAGGAATTTTTGAGCATAGTAGCAATAAAAGAAATCCCAAAGGACATTATTGAAATATCTGAATATATAAAAATTTAAAATGTCTCAACACTACTCCCTCTTCCATAAATGTCCAAGCTCATAAATGAAGTTAAATGTCAAAACAAGTAGGAGAAAATATTTTCACTAAATTTGACAGCAAGAGATTTAATGCCTTTAATATATAAAGAACTCATAAACATCAATAAGAAAAAATATTAAGAGCACAATAGTTAAATGGGTAAAGGGCATAAGTTCATAATTCACCAAAAAGAAAATAGAAATGACTAATAATTATTAAAAATGCCCAACTTCACTTTTTAAAAAAGTTTTTAATGTTTATTCTTGAGAGAGACAGAGAGAGTGAGACAGAGAGTGAGTGGGGGAGGGGCAGAGAGAGAGAGGGAGACAGAATCTGAAGCAAGCTCCAGGCTCTGAGCTGTCAGCACAGAGCCCAACACAGGGCTCAAACTCACAACCGCGAGATCATGACCTGAGCCGAAGTTGGGCGCTTAAGTGACTGAGCCACCCAGGCGTCCTGCAACTTCACTTTTTTTTTTTTCAAAAAAATTTTTATTGTGGTAAAATACACTTAACATAAAACTTACGATCTTAACCATTTTTAAGTGTATAGTTCAGTGGTCAACTTCGCTTTTAATTGAAGAAATACGGAACAAAACAATCAGACACCATTTTTGGTCATTAGATAAAATTTTTTTTTTCTATTTTAAAAAATGATAATAAGCCTGACAAAGCAGAATGAATAGCAATGTATTTTGGTACAACCTTTCTGGAAAACAATTTGGGAATATATATATAAAAAACTTTAAAGATGTTTATATTCTTTCACATAAGAATCCCAATTTTAGAAATCTATCCTAAGGAAACAATCTGAAACGTGAGTAAAGGCGTTTATAGTACATAATGCTATTTACCTTGACAAAAATAGTAGAAAGATTTAAAAATTCAATAGTAAGATTTAATCAAATGAATTTTGGTATAACCAGACAATAGATTATTTACACATCATTTAAAATGTCAATGGAAGTTTTTACTAACATGGACAATACTTGTAATTTGAAGTGAAAAGTATAAAATATTCATTTATGCATACATGTATATCTGCATAGAAAAATTACTAGAAAGAAATATACCAACCTATCAGCAAGAACTATTTCTGGATAGTGGAATTACATGTAAGTTCTCTTTCATACTTGTAACATTCTCCTTCATATATATTTTTGAGCTTTTTACAACAAAAATGTACTGCAAATAGAAAGCTCGCGTTGTTAAAGAAAAGCAAGGAATAAGCAACATGTGGAAGGAGGTTCTTTTTAATACGGGACACATTTGAAAGCTACATGCTGTGGAGATGAGTGGGGAGGGTATAAGAAGGTATAAGAAGAGGCTTCAGTGGGGCTGAGCTCCTGGGGCATGGGGTTGGGGGA